ATCTCTTTGATAGTTTTCCTATAAAACATGTCCTCAATTAAGCTTATGGTTTCATTTCTACCAAGATGATTTGTATGACCACCCACATGCATGTTACCAAAATAGTCCCCAAGGGAAGTACGTGGAATGTGTAACCTAGTGGCTCAAAACAAAAATCCTTATGAGAAATTCTACCTAATATTTTTCAAGGCCATCCTTAATTTTACCATTAAAGCTCTTTTTTTAAAAAAAAAATAGAAGAGTATATAAAATTTCATTTAATACAAGTATCAAAGGGGTGTTAAACTCATGTACAAAATTATTTACATATCAACCAGGATATTGATAAGTTTTTCCAACTCCTCCATCTAGTATAAAGATCGATCCATAACCAAAAAGCCTAGGGTTTGAAACCATCTCGCTTTAATCTTATCAATATCTTCTTTCACCCCGTCAAATATCCTCTTATTTCTTTCTTTCTACACTATCCAAAAAATTGTAAGAGGAATGAGGCCCAAATATTTTTTTCGACCAGTAACACCCTTCCATGCCAAGTCTCGTCCTTTATAGCACCAGTCATTACCCAACTGAACCCTAGAATCCCATATACTATAGACCATAGAAAGTACTCAATAAGGCACCAAAGTAAAATATTGTCACAAGTCTCCTTCGCCTTCGAACATAAGCAGCACCAATTTATCATGATCTTCCCCCTTTTTATTAGTTTATGAATGGTCAAAATACATACACGACCTACTTCCCAAGTGAAGAAAGTGACCCTTGGAGGTGCATTCACCTTTCATATTTGTGTGAACAATTGTTCTCAATAAGCTCTTTCTTGGCCAAATATTTATAGAAAGACCTGACTGTAAGAGTTCTTATTACACTAAGGGTCCAAAACGGTTAGTCATAATTCTTGTTCAAAGATTCAGAAGACAGTGACTCAAGAGTGATTCATATTCATTTATTTCCCTGTATTGAGGTTCCTCAAGATCTACACGTGCCAATCCCTACCTCCCTCACTGTCTCTATATGACACTTTAACAAAAATATCCTTATATAGTGTAATAGCAAATATATGTTGAAATCTGTCGCTCAATGCTCCCCATTCAAGGCAAAGGTCTGTCTAGAAATCAATTCTCTCCTCATCACCAATTAAAGCTTGAACAAACTCATTAAAAGTTGTGGATAAGAATCATCCAATAGAATCTCTCTCAAAAATACGAATAGCATGTTTGAGAACCTTGGAGATGACTGAACTGGACTAGTCAAAGTGGTTTCAATTGGTTAAATATATGAATCTCTAGCGCAAATGGCCCTCAAATTTCCAACTCGTGAACATAAGGCACTCAGTTCTGGTGACTATTTGGTAACCAGTTTCTATATTCTGCTTCCACTCAGAATGCTGGTTCTGGATGGGGGGATCTTTAATCATTGACATGACGGGGAAAGGTGAGTTTTGAGGAGGCAGGTGGGAACTTCAAGAGGAATGTAGGGTGGTTTTCAATAATTAGATAACCTGAGATTTGATAGAGGTTTTAGTTGGTTTCCTCTAAGGCCCTACTAGTGCTTGCTATTTTTGTGTGATTTGTCTATTCGGTTTTTTTTTTTATTTGGGAATTTGTAGTTTTTTGGTGAGTTTGATATCTACAGGACTTTAGTCCTATAGATTTAAGGAGAAAAAATATAATTTTATTTTTCATCCTTTAAGATATTATATTTAGTGTATTTATAGAATTTCTATACTATTAATAAGAAAATTACCTATTTTGATAGAATTTCTATTATATAAAATTCTTATTATAGTAAAATGTTTATTCTAGTAAATAATAATAAAATATCTTATTCATCCCCTTTCCAAGTTGGTACAGAGATATCACACATGTCCAACTTATAAACTAAGTTCTGAAGTGTCATCCTGCAGTTTAACAGTGCCAACTTCTTATTTGAATATTCTGATTTTACTAAATTTGTTGCACCTATAGATGATGAAGAGTTAAATTGAGACAGAATATGTTTCAGGGTTCGAATCTCTTTATTTGAAAAGATTCTAACTGTTGATGTGTCAGGTGTTTCACTTGTCTCAACCAATTTTTCTTGAGCTCTCGTAGGTCCACCATTCCTTCTCTTATGACCTCTAGTTGTTTTTCCATATAACTTCTAATAAGTTTCTTTAGTGTGTTTTGGCTTACCACAATAATCATATTTCTGTAGATCTTTGAACTGGTCAGATTGAACAATCAATTCAGCTTTTTCAACTGGTGCTATATATAGCATGATATTTCTTCTACTTCATTCTTATTGGACATAAGTATAATTTTGTTCCAATGAAGGAAGAGAATCTTTACCAAGTACCTGGACCCATATTTGATCATATTCGGTGTTCAGACCAGTTAAAAAATCATAAATTCGCTGTTTTTCTATCAATTTATGAAATTTAGCTGCATCTACAGGATAATCTGTCTGAAAGTTTTAATAGTAATATAATTCCAGTCATAATCCACTCAGTTTAGAAAAATATTGTGAAACAGTTCTCTTTCCTTACTTTGTGCCGTGAATTTTATTGCAGAGTTCATAAATTTGAGTATTATTACTTACTTGTGAATATATAAGAAATGTTACATTCCATATTTTTGCTGCAGTATCAAATAATAAATATGTTCATACAATATGGGGTTGCATGGAATTAATAAACCAAGACATTATCAAAGAGTTTTTAGAATTTCATATATTATATTCCAAATCACCTACATCTAGTTTCTTCGTATCACCTGTAATGTACTTCTGCAATTCTCTAAATTTGATACACAATAAATAAGATCTTGAGCAAGTCAGATAATTAGTACCATCAAGTTTTACAAGACTGATTTGTAATGAAGGGTTATCCGAATAAGAAATTATCACATTTTTTATTTTTGCCATTTTAGAGTACTGAGGGCAAGAAAATACCCAATAATAGAAACAAATCTCTTAATCTGTACCCAAATAGCCAAAAATAATAGAAAAATACTGAAATCATATTTGTCTAGCTGTCCGACTCGGCTCGAAAACAGCTTAGCTTGGATTGAATATTGGCTCGGCTTAGTGCAGTAGCTCAGCTCGGGCTAAAATTGCCTCGACTCAAATAGATCTTCAGTACACGGTTGCCAGAAAAATGAAGTAGGTTACGGCCAAAAAAGCTTTCACATGCAGCTTTGCCTGCGGTGGAAGTCAAACTAGATCTTGCAGCTCTTTGTGCAAATTTACGCGCGACAAAAGAAGCTGGGTCGATCGTATCTTCGTATGTCTCTGCACGCGTAGAAAGAAGGAACCGGAGGAGGTCGTGCGGCTCTGTGCACGGCTGAAGAAGGAAACCAAGGGCTCTTCGTGTGCTTCTGTGCGCGAAGGAAGAAGGAACTGGAGGAGGTTGCGCGACTCTACGCGCGATTGAAGAAGGAAACTGAGGGCTCTTCGCGCATCTCTGTGCATGGAGGAAGAAGGAACCAGATCGCACGACTTTGTGTGTAACTGGGTTCGCCTTTCTCCTTTGTTGACTCACAGAATCTCTCAGACCTACAATTCGTGGGGCTTTGACTCGCGGTAACCAAAGGCTTCCCAAATTAGGCTCTCTCCCTTCCGATATGACTTTCTTTTTACTCAACTTATTTTTATTGTTCTAGGGTTTGAAAGAAGAAACTCTAGAAGTAAAACCCCAAAATACTATTATTATGTTATGATACCATGTAAATTTTAAGAGAAAAAATATAATTTTATTTCTTACCATTTACCCTATGTTTGGATAGTGATAAATAGTAATCAATTAATGTATGGTAATTTACGGGCATGATAAAATTATGTTTGTTTCAACTTTTAACATGATGAGATAGTAGTAAACGGTATTCGACTTGTGCGTTTTGGATGAATTTTAAAAACCATCAAATTGGTGGTATGTGACGGGCAGATAATTATATTTTTCATTGTACTCTAATAAAATATGCTTAATTCCCGTTATACCCTCCTAAATAAATTATTTTTTCAAATACATTTTAATTTTTTATTTTTTAAAATAATTTTAAATTTAATATAATAATATATAATTACAACTATTTATTTTTAATATATAAATAATTTTTTTTATTGAAATTAAATTAATGTGATATTATAAATAATAATTATTTATTTTATCAAATATAAAAATTTAATTTGATTATATGTAATAATTATTTATTTAAATATAAATTTAATTATATTTTTTTATTATATATTTTTTATATATCATTTACTACTATATATAATAAAGTATGAGTAAATTAGTAATTTGACTGAAAATACAATCACACTATTTTATCATTCAAATAAAACATTTTCATTAACATATATTGATACACAATCATTTAAATATAAATATGACATTAAAGTATTACATTACTGTATTTATAGAACTCCTAAACTATTAATAAAGAAGTTATTTATTTTGATAAAATTTTTATTACATAAAATTTTTATGATAGTAAAATATTTATTTTAATAAATAATAATAAAATATCCTATTTCAACAGGTCCAAATAACAAATTGATATAGTACAGCAGAATGAGGTTTTTCACATCAGTTAAAAAGCTTGTTTTCTTGTTTCTGTTTTCTGTCCTTTTTTTTTTTTTTTTAACTTTTCTATCTCTTGAAGATTTCTTATCTCTAGATTATTTTCCCTCTTTGTTCCTCTTCTAATATTCTTTTGCTCTGGAAAAAACATAATCTTCACATAGTCTAGCTTACCCTTGTGGTACTAGTTACAACCAAACTAGGATATTGCGTAAGTAATGGTAGTATTGAAACTTTCTACATCCTAATCCTGTTCGGACTTTTAATCTTAGCTAAACTCTAGGTAATCAGAAGCAAATTTAAAAAATAAATAGATGAAAATACTCCCTGCACATCTATGGATGCCTATTTGTGTATGTGCACCAGTAAATCTTCAGCCTGCATTTTTCATTTGCTTTATGAAAGTAGCTCCAATAACAAAGCATTAAAATTTTATTTTCAGGTGTTTCCTGCACCAGCTGAAAGGGAAAAGGTGAAATCTTGTTTGTCTGAGTTGGGTGACTTGAGCAACATTTTTAAGCAAGCCTTGAATGCTGGTATGGAGCAACTTGTGGCTACTTTGACACCTCGAATCCGCCCTGTCTTGGATAGTGTAGCAACCATCAGCTACGAGCTATCTGAGGCTGAATATGCTGATAATGAGGTGAATGATCCTTGGGTCCAGAGGCTTCTCCATGCTGTTGAGACAAATGCAGCATGGCTCCAACCACTCATGACTGCTAACAACTATGACTCATTTGTGCATCTAATCATTGATTTCATCGTGAAGAGGCTTGAAGTGATTATGATGCAGAAACGGTTCAGTCAGCTTGGAGGCCTTCAGCTTGACAGAGATGCAAGAGCTCTGGTAAGCCATTTATCTAGCATGACACAGAGGACGGTTAGGGACAAGTTTGCTCGTCTTACTCAAATGGCAACAATTCTCAACTTGGAAAAGGTCTCCGAGATTCTGGATTTCTGGGGTGAAAACTCAGGACCCATGACCTGGAGACTAACTCCAGCTGAGGTTAGGCGGGTGTTGGGTCTAAGAGTTGATTTTAAACCTGAAGCCATTGCTGCTTTGAAATTGTAGTGTTCATTTACATCCATTAGAACTTGCCTTGCTCATATTCTTCTGTTCTTTTTTATTCTCCATTAATCAAAATTTGTAATTTTATTATATTTTTTGTAGTCTTTCTTTTTCCATGGGTATTTTTACAGGTTATAATTTCCATCTCTTAAAATAGAGATGAATGAGAACTTTGAAGTGGCAATTTATAAAGGCTGACCTCTTATTTTCTCATAAGCATGTATAGCAGCATATTTAACTTTTAAGTTTCTCATCTTCACAGCTCTTGGAGCGCTGCTGATGTGAGTTCCTTATCCTCTTTGGTGGCTATATTTACTGGGTTTTATTTACTGTATTGCGAACGCTTGTAATCCAACTCCGCATGATAATCACTGAGTTTACATTGCAGGTGGCAACTAAAAAGTAAAACAAAATAGAAAATAAATAATTTTAACCTAACATGTTTAGCACAAAACCTGCCATAAAGTCTATGGTTGTTTATTAACATATTATGGAACATGGTAGCAGCTTTGACAGAGAAAAGGATAGTTGCTAATTTATGGCACTTATCTTTTTGCCCCTGCTACAGTTTTACTGGAGAATGAGGCTCATTTTATCGAATTTAATTCACTTCCTCCACAGACCCATATAAAGTTAACGGGAACAAAAACTCAAAATTTAAATTAAAGAACATATTCTGCTTACACAAACACTAACCTTAAACTAACAAGTGATACGTGAATGCTAGCAGTAACTAAACATAAAACCATGCAACCATCAACCAAAATAGCACCTTGAGTTATACTGCTGGGAGTCCCACCGACATGGTTACACATGCGCAGTGCCTTCAGTAAATTTGGGATCCTCACATCTGTACCGCCCATCAGGTCCAATTCCAAAACCTTTAGGATCTGCAAACACATTCTCAAGGAGCTGACTGCGGGCTGGGTGAGGGCTCTCATCGGCAAATTCAACAGCATCTTCAACAACCTCGTCAATTTTCTTTTCTATGGCCTTCAACTCTGCTTCACTGGCTAGTTTGTTCTCAGTCATGTATTTCTTCAAAGCTGTGATGGGATCTCTGGCAGCATACCGGGCCTTCTCAGCTGCCAGATAAAAAACACAGGATTGAGCAAGAGAATACACGGAAGCTTCAAGGATGACAACCAAATATGAGAGAAAAACTATCTACCCGCAGATCTTGAGAATTAGTTAGATACCAAGTAAACCGAAAATTCTTATGCATCAAACCAAGGTGGCATCTATTGAAATCTGGGAAACAATGATAGAAGTTCCTTTCACTGCTAATTGGTACCAGTTATCCCAAAGACTGAGCTTTGATTAAATAGCAGCAAGTGAAATATATCAACAAAAGAGTGAAAGAGCAAACAAGAAAAGCAGAGACAGACAAAGAAAACTAAAATCAAATGCTCACCAGGATCACGGAGCTCATCTGGATCAGCCAAAGAGTGTCCTCTGAACCGGTATGTTTCACACTCCACCAATGTAGGACCTTCTCCTCTCCTAGCCCTTTCAATTGCTTCCTTGGCAACCTCCCTCACCTTCAAAACGTCCATACCATCAACGTGAACTCCTGGCATCCCAAATGCAGGCCCTTTCTTCCAAATTTCAGGATCTGAAGTTGCCCTCAAATGGGACATCCCAATTGCCCACAAATTATTCTCCACAACAAACACAATTGGCAACTTCCACAGCTGTGCCATGTTCAAACACTCAAAGAATTGGCCATTGTTACATGTACCATCTCCAAAAAATGCTAGAGTTACATGATCACAATCTGCCTCGTTCAATACTTCCCTCCTATACTTACTAGTAAAGGCTGCACCAGTTGCCACAGGAATGCCTTCACCAATAAATGCAAATCCACCAAGCACGTTATGCTCTTTCGAGAACATGTGCATGGATCCACCTTGTCCTCGACAGCAACCAGTGGTCTTGCCAAAGAGCTCACTCATCACAGCACGTGCTGGGACACCTTTACTCAGGGCATGCACGTGATCACGGTATGTGCTCACAACGTAATCCTCCTTCTTCAAGAGCTTGATAAATCCAGTTGACACAGCCTCCTGTCCGTTATACAGGTGAACAAATCCGAACATCTTTCCTCTATAATACATTTGGGCACACATGTCCTCAAATGCTCTTCCCAGAACCATATCTTCGTACAACTCCAAGCCTTCCTCTTTGGTGATCAACTAAAGTGAAATACAAGGTTAAAAGAAAAGTAACAATTTTGGCTTTAATTGTTTTAGCCGAAAAAGGAAAATTAATTAAATTCACAACCAAATATTTCAACAAATCACTGTAGGCTCTTTTTTCTTTTCCAATCATAATTTTGTTCCAAGAAACAATTTTCCTTGTACCCAAAGAAACTGACTGATGCATTACCAAAAATTTTCACCAACAAAATGCAAATCCTTCTGTATTCAGGTAAGACCCGTAACATTGAGAAAATGAATATACAATTGGTAATCGACGCTATATTAAACACAAAGAAAACAGAAAGTATTCGCATTTAAAGCATAATTGTAGCACGTAGCTTGAAATGAAAATTGGGACAAAATTTTTTTCATCAATGCTCCATAGACAGCAAAACATACTTAAAAAATATAAATTTTCTAATTCAGAGCTATACTTCAGTTAGCTTCAAACTTCTCATTCCTGCTTTAAAAATAGATAAATAAGATTTCGCAGACAGAGAGAGTTTCACAAGAGAACGAAAACGCAGAGAGGGAAACAAATCAACAGAAGCAAAATCTCGAAAGCATTTTCACACGGAACAGATCAGGGAAGTACCAGATTCGAGCTCTGCTTGAGCTTCTTCTCCTTAACGACGTCGGAAACGGCAACGACAGCAGATCGACGGCGGGCGTCCAGTCGATTCGATGCGGCACGAGAATCGAATCGAAGTTTGCGGGTAGATCCGAAGAAAGAGGTGGTAGGTGGAGGTTTGAGAGGATCAAAGAGACGCCTGTCAGAAGATCCATTGAGGTCGAAAAGATGGGAGGTGAAGTTGGCAGCAGAGAAAGCTGTTGCCATTTGAGGTGTGTGGAAATGAAAATGAGAGAAGTTTGGGGAAGAGAAAGGTAGGGAAAGGGAAAGGTATAAAGAGTAAGGGAAGAGAAGGCGGAGTTAACGAGGAAAGTGTGCGTAGGAATAATCGCCAGCGAAGAAAGGGAGGCGACCCAACTCAACTAAAAACTCTCTCTGAGAGACGAAGACGAAGCCTCTTTCTCTTTGATAAGTCAGTTACGATTTGTAATCGCTCTTTCATTAGACAGTTGGCTGCTCTGCCCTTCCCTGCTTTAATGGGTGTCAAAATTTGGCACTATTTTCTCATTCCTAAACGATGTCGTTTTCTCTTTTTCCTTTTTTGTTTTTCTTACAAAATAAAAAATTTAATTATTTTCCCCTGTCCTTTTCAATCAGATAAGAATTTATTACTGTTTTTATCCAATTTCAATTTTTTTTTTTTATTCAATGGTGTGGAAAAATTTTTGTGGATGAGAATTACACACTTCTCTTACAAGTACTGTATGGATATTCTGTTGCGTAGGCTATTTAGAAACATACTAATATGAACATTACTTATTCTATATCTAGTGAATTAAAAAAAATTTATATACCATTTGTTTCTAATTCTTTTTATATATTAAATATTTTCACAAATCTGTTTTTTTTTTTTTTAATTAAAAAAAACATTTGAAATTATATACTAAGATATGCATTCTTAACTAAATTCTCTTTTTTTCTTGTAATGTAAAGATGAGAAGGAAATGAAAACTCTTAATCCCTTGAGTAAATCATGTATTTTAATTAAAAACATTAAAGAGTTAAAATCATACATTAGTTTAATAAAAATTGATCAAAGAGTTAATGAAAACTCTTTTTTCTTTTTAAAGTTGAGGTTTAGTGAAGGTCAAGGTAGATAATGTAATTGAATATTTTTAGAAAATCCTATTGTTATAAGCTCAACATGGATGTTTCTTTTAATTTATTTTTTATCTATTTAAATTATAAAAATACTTTTTTCCTTTAAAAAAGTAATCCTACTTTGTTTTCTTTTTTTTTTATTTTTTTTACACTACATAGGTAATTATTAATAAAATAACAGAGAAGAAAAAAAAATTGAAAGTAAAAGAATGGTTTTGAAAGAAAACAATCGTACATGTTTTCTTTATTTGGATAATAATAAATAAAGAAATAAATGATTATCATAATATTTATTTTATTTAATTTTTTTAAAAATAAAATATTATTATTATAAAAAACAAATCAATAATACTCTCTATTAATAATAATGACATGATAGTAATCAATGGAAAACAAATTAAATATTAATTATTCCTCTTGCCTATAGGTTATTAGTCTCAATTGCATGTTTAGATAATCTATTTTGACACAACTATTTTTTTTTGTTGGGCATACTTGCCCAAGATCTTGATAATGTATGGTATTCGAATATACATAAATTGTTATTCCCTCTTAAAAATCTATAGCAAAAACTTGTATAAAAAAAATTCTCAAACTCTGTTTAAATTCTCGTAACATCATGGAGAGAGAGAAAAATGGATAAGACTATCTTTTAAAAGAATACTTGAGTTATTTCTTATAAATAGTAATTCATTACAAAATTTATTAAAATATGATATCAATGAACTCTTTAAAAATTATGCTTAGATTCAACAAAATTCGAAAGACCTAAATAATATGATTTAAATTCTTTAACTGAGACAGCGGACAAAAATTACTTTAATTTAGTACACAAAAAAGATAAGAAAAAGCTTAGCATAAAATAGCCCAATTAAATACGTATATTTAATTTATATATAAATACAATAATAATAATAAAAATTAAATTTTCACTATATATTCCCAACTCTCTTTTTTCCAATTCATCAAAAGACACCTAACGCAAATTTATTTACATTATTTTTCTTCCGCGTTCGACTCCAAGCCAGACACTGAAACAAGAGTAGCATCGTCAGTTTTCGCCAGGACATCAGTTTCCCGCGCTATAATACAACCTGAAGAACCCTAACACCACTTCTTACTCGTCTTTTCCAGGAAGCTAAAATGTAGAACATTAATAATAATTTTTAAAGTGAAAAACAAAAGTATTATTAAATGATTCCAAACACTAATAATCAAATAAACAAAAAAAAATTTAAATATTATTTTAAAGTCTACAAAACCATGAGCCAACCCTCTCTGTCATTTCTTCACTTCCAACAACTATGGCCGCCGCAGCAGCTTACTATTCCTCCTTTTTCCCAAACCAACCATTCAAACTAAACACGACCACTTATCCTTCTTCCTTTAAACTTCATTCGCTCTCTATCACTGCCTCCACTAACAATGCGCCAATCAAGGGTGGCAAGCTACGCGTCGCCGTGATTGGCGGGGGCCCCGCTGGTTCCTCCGCGGCCGAAGCTCTCGCCTCCGGCGGGATCGAGACGTATCTTTTCGAACGGAGCCCTTCCACTGCCAAACCCTGTGGAGGGGCCATCCCTCTCTGCATGATGGATGAGTTCTCCATCCCCGTCCACCTCATCGATCGCCATGTCACTAAGATGAAGATCATCTCCCCATCAAATCTCTCCGTCGACTTTGGATCCAAGTCTCTCCGCCCTCATGAGTCTATCCCCATGCTCCGTCGGGAAGTCCTCGACTCCTTCCTTCGCTCCCGTGCCCAATCCAGTGGCGCCCACTTGATCGATTCACTCGTCACGCATCTCGAGGTTCCCACCTCCCTCTCCGCCTCATCTTCTCCCTACATCGTCCACTACACGGTCAACAATTCCCGAAGAACCCTCGCCGCCGATGTGGTGATCGGTGCCGACGGAGCAAACAGCCGCGTCGCCAAGTCCATAAATGCCGGAACCTACACCTGCGCAATGGCCTTTCAGGAGCGAATCAAGCTGCCGGATGATAAAATGGAGTATTATTGTGACCTGGCCGAGATGTACGTCGGGGAAGACGTGTCGCCCGACTTTTATGCGTGGGTATTTCCAAAATGTGACCATGTGGCGGTGGGAACGGGTACGGTTCGTGCCAAGCGGGATTTAAAATTGTACCAGAGAGGGGTCAAGGAGAGAGTGAAAGAGAAGCTAAAAGGTGGAAGGGTGATAAAAGTGGAAGCCCACCCAATACCGGAGCACCCGCGGCCTGTGCGGGTGTGTGGACGGGTGGCGCTGGTAGGGGATGCGGCGGGGTACGTCACAAAGTGCTCGGGAGAAGGCATATACTTCGCGGCGAAGTCAGGGAGAGTGTGCGGAGAAGCGATTGTGAAAGCATCGGAAGGAGGAGAAAGACTAATAAGCGAGAAGGATCTGAAGAGGGAGTACTTGAAAGAGTGGGATAAGATGTACTTGAACACGTTCAGGTTTCTAGATTTGTTGCAGAGGGTGTTCTATGGGAGCAACGCGTCCAGGGAGGCGTTGGTGGAGGTGTGTGGGAATGAGTACGTGCAGCGTATGACATTTGATAGCTATCTATACAAGAAGCTGGCTAGGGGGGATAGATGGGAGGATGTGAAGATGGTGTTGAACACTTTGGGGAGTTTGATGAGATGTAAGATTGTGGAGAGGGAGATGACGCAGATAGGCCCAGTCGCAGAGGGGTTTTTCTTGTAGCTTTATTTTTTTTAGTTCACTTCGTTTTCTCTCGTCTCCTGTACTTCATTTCAGCTTGTATTTCTCTTCATTATTGGGAATTGGACCTCCCTATATTTTCCTGTTATATACTCAGTCAGGATCAGGCCAATAAATCATACACCAACATAGTTCCTCAAACAACAATGAAGAAACAGTACAGAAAACAAAAACAATGAAGAAACTCTTTACAGTATGGAATAAGTTAATCAAGTCCAGAGACTCTACATTATTACCAACGGGGTCAGTCCATCGGCCAAATTACTCATATTAAGTAATGCATTTTCTTATTCACTCTCAACTCGCAACTACCTTACAAAAGCATCCTGCTCAATTTGTATGGAATAAGTTAATCAAGTCCAGAGACTACATTATTACCAACGGGGTCAGGCCGTCGGCCAAATTACACATATTAAGTAATGCATTTTCTTATTCACGCTCAACTTGCAACTACCTTACAAAAGCATCCTGCTCATTTGTATAAAAAGCTTAACTACAAATATTTTACGAAGTAGCAATACATATACAGAAATGACATTAGGAAAGAAAGGACAAGCAGTTAGAGCAGCTGGTGCCGTGGCGAAACTAACTGCAAAAGAGCGAAAATAGGCCACATTAAGATTATCTTCTGAAGAGGTCTGTTTGATATTCAAAAATTGCTCAGCAACTAGCAGACAATTGGGTAATGCTGGCGTGAATAAAAAAATTTGAGTAGAGCCAAATCTATATGTTGGCTAGCTGAAACAAAGTTAAGAGAAATGGAACGGTCAAAAACTCAGCTTCAACTATCCATCATTCTCCAGCATAATTCACAACGGCCTTGCTGGAGTTTCACTACCAGTATTGTTATCTCCACATGAAAATTCCTCTACCTTGCTCTTGTCTTCTCCTTCCCTACAGAGAACACAATTCGCAATATGATCACGTGTTATAATCACGCATCTCAATAATATCATAATAGAGTAATTATGACATACCAAATCTTGGAGACGAGAGATGATCCCTTCATATTTAGTTCCCATATCGCTG